GATGCTGTATTAATGTGGTAATTTTGGTTCTTTCCTCTTTTTGGATGTGCCCATTTATCACAATAAATTGTCCTCTCAGCACCGCTTTCGCCGTGTCCCAAAGATTTTGGTATGTTGTGTTTTCATTCTCGTTTGTTTCTGGGAACTTTGTGAATTCACATCTAATTTCTTCTTTTACCCAGTCGCTTCTCAGCAGGGTGTTACTCAGTTTCCATGTATTCTGCTTTATTTCCTTGGTCATCTTATTGTTCATTTCTAGTTTTATAGCATTGTGGTCTGAAAAGTGGTCTGAAAAGATGCTTTGTAGTATTTGATGTTTGTAAAATTATGCAGGCTTGCTTTTGTGACTTAACACATGGTCAGTTCTGGAGAATGTTCCGTGTGCAGTGGAGAAGAATGTATATTGTGCTTTTGTTGGATTGAATGCTCTGTACACATCTATGAGGTCAAGTTGGTTGATTGTGTTATTTAGTTCCTCTGTAACTTTGTTGAGTTTCTTTCTGGTTGTTCTGTCCCTTTTCGAAAGTGGCGTATTAAAATCTCCCACTATAATTGTAGATTTATCTATTTCTTTCTTCAATTCTAGTAGGATTTGCTTTATATATCTTGGTGCTCTTTCATTGGGAGCATAGATATTTATTATGTTATATGGTCTTACTTGACCCTTTGATCATGAACTTGTTGTTGTTGATCATGAACTAGTGTCCTTCTTTATCTCTTATGCTGATTTTTGTCTTAAAGTTTACTTTATCGGAGATTAGTATTGACACTCTTGCTTGTTTATTGTTGCAGTTTGCTTGGTATATTATTTTCCATCCTTTAACTTTTAGCCTTTTTTTGTCTTTGTGTGTAAGGTGTGTCTCTTGCAGGCAGCATATTGATGGGTCTTGTTTTCTTAACCATTCTACCACTCTCTGTCTCTTCACTGGTGCATTCAATCCATCGACATTCAATGTAATTATTGATAGGTATGAATTAATTGCTGGCATTATGTTAATTTTTGGTAGTGCTTTTTGTTCCTTTGTTCTGCATGCCTTCTTGTGCTGAGTTTGTGGGGGTTTTTGTGCTGTTTCTTGTCGGTTTCTTCTTAGTTTTCATGTTTGCTTGTTCTGCTTTGAAGTTCGTTTTCATGGGAAGTTGTGAAGTATTAACTTTCTTTGGGGTTACCTTATAGTCTATTAACTTTTCCCTCCATTTAAGACAATCTTGTTGTATCCTGTAATCTACCTGAATGCCTCACCACCTGGATCTCTGTTCCTACAGTTTTTCCTTCTTTGACATTGTTATTGTTTTGATCTTTGGTTGACTTCCCAGCTGTTTTGAATTCGTTGTTGTAATTTTGTTTGGTTCTGGACTCTGCTATCCATCATCTGAATTTCATGTGGTGTTGCCACACTGTCATTCTCTGGTTGTTGTCTGTTCTTGTTGGTTTTCAGTCCAGAGAACTCCCTTTAGGATGTTTTGAATTGCTGGATTGGCTTTGCTAAAATCTCTTAGCTTCTGTTTATCCTGGAATGTTTTGATTGCACCGTCGTATTTGATTGATTGACACTTTTGCTTGATAGATGATTCCTGGTTGGCAGTTTTTTCTTTTAGGATTTTATGTATGTTTCCCCATTGCCTTCTTGCCTGCATGGTTTCTGTTTAATAATCAGAGCTTAATCTGATTTTTTTTGCCTTTGTAAGTAGCATTTCTCTTCTCTCTGGCTGCTTTTAGGATTCTTTCCTTGTCTTTGATTTTGGAGAGCTTGATTATTATATGTTTTGGTGGTTTTCTTTTGGGCTGTATCCTTATTGGGGTATGTTTGGCTTCTTGAACGTTTATCTTCTCATCTTTCAAGATGTTAGGGAAAGTTTCTTCCAGAAGCTCTTCCACTATCTCCTCTGTGGACTTCTCTAATTCTTCCTGTACCAGAATGCCAATAATTTTTACCTTGTTCCTGTTATCCAGCATGAATCTTAGACTCTCTTCAGATTTTTTAATCCTTTTTTCTGCTTGCTCTTCTGTCGTAGTAGTATTGAGAGATTTGTTTTCCAGCTCACTGGTTCAGGCTTCCCATCTCTTCAGTTCTGCTTCTTTCCCCTTTCAGTGTATTGTCCATCTCTGATATTTTATTTTTAATTATCTGGACCTCTTTTGCAGGTTTTGAATTGTTTCTAGTGCAATATTCATCTTGTTTGATTGCTCTTGTAGTACTTTCCTGACTTCTTCCTTGTTTTCCTCAACCCCTTTTCAGAGTATTTGAATTTGCTTACATATCATTCTTCTGAATTCCTTCTCCGGCAAATCCAAAACCTGCTCTTCCTCTTTTAGAAAGCCTTTGTCTCCAGCTCATTTGTCTCAGCCACTCTTTTTTGGTTTTGGACATGTTTTTGATATGTTTTGTCTTTTGTCATTTCCATTGGTTGTATGGAGTTTTAATGCTAAATGGATGTTTGTAGGTGTGGCATTAAGCTTACTGGTTGTCTCCTGGTGGATATAATCAGGAGATAGGCTTTCCTTTTCACATGTAATGTTAGCAGCTGTTACTGTCTCTTGTCTCAGTGGTGGAATATTTTGGGGCATCCTTATAGTTTGGCTATATGGCCATGATTGCTGACTCTATTTGGGTAACTTAGGGAGAAAAAGCTCCCACATCCAGGAAAAATGTGTGTTCTTTTAGCCCAAAAGCAGAGACAATATGAAAGCAGAGACAAAAACCACCACTTTGAAACAAAAATAAAACTGTGGCCAACTGTCCAGTTGCCTTGCTACACAGGCAGTGTGTGTATGCACTGTAGAAGCCTCCAGTAGTGGGTGGGGGTGTCCACTCGCTCAGGCCCCTCCTCTAGTCACCACCGTAGAGGTGCGCAGATAGATGTTGGGAAGTTAATGGGAGAAAGATTTTTTACTATTTTTGTCTCTGAAGAAGGTCAGTTAGGTATCTGCATGTGCACAGCATAATTCTTGAAATAGTTGTGTCTTTTTATGTTGGGGTTTTACAGATTGTTCATATGGTTTGTCTGTCAGGCCAAACCTGCTTTTTTTCTTACTGGATAGGCGAGAGTAAAGGGTCCCACACAAGTTAACTTTAGGGCTGGGATACACAGGCAGAAGTCAAAAGCAGCAGTGTCCTTGGACCCATGGGACACTTTCTCTCTGTGCCATGGGAAAGATTTGGTCTTAATGCTGGACTTTTTGGGGGGTGCGCACTCACCCGCCTGAAGACATCCAGGCTGGACAAAGAAGACACGACAGGGAAGAGGAGGAAAAAAATGTGTAGAATCCTCCCACGCCTCCTTTTGCAAATGTCACTGTGCTGCTTTTAGCACTGGTTCCCTGAGCTGGTCTGGCTGTAGCTCCGCCCAGGCGGGATGGCCACAGAGAGAGTCCTGATGTCTTGACCAATTACTAAATCGCAGTATTTTCCTTTATACCGTGATTATTCCACTGGCGCTTGCGGAGAAACTATTGCCCTCACACTTAAGCTAGATCAGAGCTCTGGCGCTGTTCCATGAGAGCAGTGTCTCTGCGTTTTCAGCCCCTCCCCCACAGAGCCTGCCCTTACCTGACTGCTCTGCTGCCGCCAAACCGGAAGACCAGTGTGTTTATTTTTAAGCTGTACTTTTTTTGTCATAGGCTGCACTTGTTCATTTGCTTAGCCAGTTCCTCCCTGAGTAAGATGAAACAAATTATCAATCTTTTTTGGAAATACCCCTGTCAGGTCAAAACACAATTCCGTAGTAATTAAACCCACTCTGCTCTGACCAGAACCAGGCATCCACCCTAGGATCCAGGCTACAGTATTTAAGTTCACAGGCCAGGGAAGGGAATAGTTCTAACCCTCTTCAGAAATATTGAAAAAAATGGGCAAAAATTGTCACAATTAACCTTATCAGAACTCAGGGAAAGAGTAACAGATTTATAGAAACCAAGGCAATACTTAAACAAGAGAGGCAACTTAAAGTAGAAGTTAAATGCTACAAAGATCTCTTAGCCTGTTTAAGTTGCTTCTCCTGGCTAAGCATTCTCTTAGTTTCTGAAAACCTTTCACTTTCTCCCAAAGTTCTGATAAGTTTGATCTATACCATTTCTGCTAGCCTTTTCAGCATTTTGGAGGGACAGATCCCCAGCATTTTCCTACTTTGCCGTTTTAGCTGTAGTAACTGCCAAGACCAACTCCATTTTGTAAACCAGATTTTTTGTCCATTTACTAACTTCCTAATACAACTTATGAGATATGGAGATTAGTTCTCAAGGAAAATATGGTAATGAAGTTGATAATAGCTCTCTGTAGGACAATCACTGGACCTCAAGGTCAGTTTGAACCACAGAGTCAGTAGCTCAAACTCCCCAGCTGCTCTTTGGAAACCCTATACAGAGTCGCTATGAGTCGGAACCAACTCGACGGCACTTAACAAGTACTACTACTAATATTTAGTGTTAGTGGGTTATGTATTTAGCTGCTATCTGAAAGGTAAGCAGTTGTAGTTCACTCAGTGCTCTGCCAGATGATGTTTTCTGCCCCATAAAGGTTTACAACCTCAGAAACCCTATACAGAGTCACTATGAATCAGAATCAACTCTACAGAAAACCACCACTGCCATGTATTGGGCACTATGCTAAACATTCATACTTTTATTTAACCCTCAAAACAACACAGTGATTTATGTGGTTGTTACTATCTACTCTTATAAAAAAGGAAACCATGTCAAAAAGGTTTGGCAACTTGCCGAGGTTCATATAGTGACCAAGTCACAGATCCTGGCTTCAGATCTCAAACTTTCAACCATGATTTTTACTGTTTTCCCAAGAAGCTCTTCAGAAATAAATTGGGTGTTGACCAAACTCAACTCTAAAACCAGTCTTGTGGTGATAAAAATTAATGAGACAATGAGAAAGAACTGAACACCCTTAGTGTTTTCAATTTTGAGCATTCCTAGTATTTTATTTCTAAAGACAACCTTTTTCATGGACTGTATAATGTGGTGATGATGTCTTTTTCCGTTTACATTTCAGGTCATCAAGAAAATAATAACTTTTGTTCAGTGAACATAAATATTGGTCCAGGTGACTGTGAATGGTTTGTTGTTCCCGAAGGTTACTGGGGTGTTCTTAATGACTTCTGTGAAAAGTAGGTTTTTAAACTAAATTTTCTTTAAACATATTAGAAAGCATTAGTTGTAAAGAATCATTTAACAAGCAAAATTTCGTAAGCCAGTTTTCACTTACCATTCATCAAAAAATTCCTTTTAAATAATTAGATTCCAAACCTATTGTTTTCTGTTATCAATAATACTTTAAGGAAGATGTGATAAGACCAAACTATATATAATAGTAATGAATTGAGAGTATAGAAAGTTTGAATTGTTAATTATATCTGTTTTTAAAATGATGCATAATCATGAGGGACCTTCAGAAATTTGAATTAAAAGACAACTTTTCCACATTTTGAAGCTCCCTTGTACTTATTTGTTGGAAAGTAATATATTCTAAGAAAAATTGTTTTATTACAAATGGATTTAGATGGTGGAAGCTCTTTTAAAATTGAGCCACCCTTATAGGTTATTATTAACTCAAGCTTGAATATACTGGCTTTTGCTCTATCATCCTAGTATACATTCTTTTTAAAAACTACATTAGCAACTTTTCCTGTAAAGAAATTTTATCAAACGTAATTACATATTTCAGATTTCATTTTCTCCATAAGAAAAATAACTCACATACTAGAGTTCTTTCCTAAGAACCTAATAGCCTTTCCTCTACTTTTGTGTCATGTTTAAAAGGGTACCATGGAATTATTTTCATTAGTTTAAACTTAATTTGTGTAGATGTAAATGTTTTTTTTTCCTAAAAAAGTACTTTGTTCTGATAGTGCATGATATTTTCTGTTGGTAATAACTGAAAAATTACTGTGATATAAAAAATAAAAAAGCAAATTATTCATACATTGGGTATTGTATGTCCCCAATTAGATAAGGAATAAAACCTATCTGAAACATTTTCAACAGGCCAGATTTGGACCATGGACTATAGTTTGTCAAGCCCTCATCTAAGCAAAAATTAAATTCAAATCAGTGAAATCTTTTTTATTTATTTTTTAAGGATTTTATTGTGGATTGAGTGAAAGTTTACAGAGCATATCATCAGTTTTACATTCAATAAATCATATACCTTGTTTCATTACATTGATTATAATCCCTTCCATGTACCATCAGTTAACAGTGTTTTTCTCTGTCCACTTTAGCTTTTTAAAAAACACACAAACAAAAAAACCCACTCAGGCATATGTAATAATTTACGTCTCCAAAGGGCACATTCTGAACATCTGCTCCTGGCCACCAGCTCTTAGTCCTTCTTTTCTTAGTCCATGAATCTCGAGTGCTCAGCCACTCCCCCTCTCCATGCCCCCATCTCTGGCGCTGCTTCTCTGGATAAGGCCCCGCACTCTGCTTGTGCGTTCCTCTCTTGATGGTCCTAGGATCCTCTGTTTCTGGACTGTAAGATTAACCACTCCCCTTTTATTGTTACAAAACTTCTACCTTTACAATTGTGACAGTTGCGATTACTCATGATAAAAGTTATTCACTATTGAATCTTACAAGTCTTATCCCCATCTCTTTTCACCAGACCCATCTAGACAAGATGACAGCTATTCACTGGGGACTCTTTCTTTCCCCCCATACTCTTAAGCTAAACTCCCTCTTGAAACCTTGTAAGCCAGTCACTTTGTGCCTTTATTGCCCCTCATTTTAGGTAGACAATGTCTAAGTTTCCCGTCCTGATCTACCCTGTGTACAGAGCGGATAGCATTGAAACTTGATTTAAAGACTCTTTCCCTCTCTGTTGGTATTTAGAGTAACTACCGCTCTGAGTAGGTTCATCATGAAGATGTATCTTCTGTCACTGTAGCTGTTCCAGTCAGCTTGTCCTTTCTAGTGGGAATGTCTCACCTCATAAGGTTGTGGATGGGACTCGGGATTCCACCTAAGGTCCTATACTCTGTAAAGGCTTTGCATGAGGCCTATTTTACTGGGCAAGTTGTAAAACCCCTTTTAGGTATTCCAATCAGTTATAGGCTGAAGATGGGCTTACAAGTTTTCCCTAATCATGTTTCCCAACATTCCTTTCTTTCCCACTCAAGTGTCTATTTTATAATAGTAGGCAAGGGAAACTAATATTCATAAGGCAGTCAAGGATTTTAGTAGTTATTTACCCTCTTCAAGCTATACCTATATCCCTGTATCCCAGAGCCCTGTTGTTCCAAAGTTGAGTATGCATCACTGTTTACCTCTGTCCCATTAGGCCATGCAAACCTGTCTCAATGTTCTATCTATCTTGTTCTTCTGCCTCCTCCCCTCTTGTTGTATTTCCCTCCCCAACACCCAAACTAAATCCCCCACCTCAACCCCTTTGTGGTTACCTTATATTCCATTAGTTCTTCCCTCCATTTAAGACAGTCTATTTTATCCAGTAATCTACCTGACCTGTCCACCACCTGGATCTCTGTTCCTCTGTGTTTACCTTTTTTCACATTGTAATTGCTTTGATCATACACTGCCCTCCCAGATCCTCTGTTCTTATCATTTTGTTCTGTTCTTGACTCTTCCATTTGTCGACTGAGTTCAGGTTGATGCTGCCATGTACGTCATTCTGTAGTTGTTGTGTGTTCTTGTTGCTTCTCAGTCCACAGAACTTCCTTTAGGATGTTTTTCATAGCAGGGTTGGCTTTGGCAAAATCCTTTAGCTTCTGCTTATTCTGGAATG